TCCATGTCTTTATCAAGATCCAGAAAGTTTTCACCACCTCAGAAAATTTTTTTGTGTACCTCCCCAATCAATCTGCACATCCTCCTCCATGAAGCAACCACTGTTCCAGTTTCTGTCATTGTAGTTTAATCTGTTGTAGTACTTTGTGCAAAAGGAATCATATAGTATGTGTGCTTTTGTGTGTGACTTCCTTTACTTAACATATCTATGAGGCTCATCCATGTTGTCACAGTATCAGTAGTTCCTTTTTATTGCCGACTAGTATTCCATTATATGAATAGGACACAGTTTGTGTATCCATTTTCTTGTTGATGGCCACCTGTGCAGTTTCAGGTTTTGACTATTAACATTCTTTTTCAAAGTTTTGGTTCTTTTTTAAGCTTTTTATTTTTTTAAAATTTTTATTTTTATTTTTTGTGGACACATATTCCCTTCTTTAAATACCCAGGAGTGGAATTTTGTTATAGACTGTGTGTGTGTTTACTTTTTAAATAAATTTTCGAAATGTTTCTCATAATGATTGTGCCATTTTACATAGAGTACTTCTAAACTCTTATTGTCTCACATGGAGTAGAAATTGTGGGACAGGGCAACATCCAGTCTGGTTACCTTTAGCCATCAGGACTCTAGAGGATAATTTCTATACTTTTTAAAGAAGCAAAGGAATTTCAATGAGGAAAGAATTGTAATAAAGGATTTATAAATGTTATTTATTCCCTACCTTTTTGCAAATACGTATTCTATCTCTGAAAAGACACATAGACCCTGGCACTTTAAGAACAGTGGTCAGTCACAGTCTCCTTTGATCGCATCTATTTCCAGTGAGAAGAAATCAGGGGCTCTGGACCTATGAAGGGGATTTTTTTTTGAGTCTCCCTTAACATGGACACAACACAGAACATGGGCACTAAATACCGTAATGGAACTATATTCCAGAAAAGGGAAAGCTGCACTTCTTTGTTTTAGTCTTTGTACATATGTATCCTGTTCATGCTGCATCTCTTTCCTATACTCTTTTCAAGTATGGAGTATTACATCTTACATTTTCCACTTTGTGTTTCAGGCCAAAGAAGCCCTCGAAAATACTGAAGTTCCTGTTGGTTGCCTTATGGTCTACAACAATGAAGTTGTAGGGAAGGGGAGAAATGAAGTTAACCAAACCAAAAATGTATGTGAGTTGAGCAGTATAATTGCAAACATACAGTAGTGATGGGTGGACTGGAGAGAACTGACCACAGTTGGTGTGAAGATGAGACTGAATATAGTCCCGTAACTGCCAGTGGTGGGTAGCTTTTCTTAACGTCTCTCTTTTTCAGTATCATTTTCTTCCTGATTTTGAAAGTGATACATGTTTATTTTTTTTATTGTGGAAAATTTCAGAACAATTTAATGAAGCCATAAAATCTTAGTGAATAATTTTCTGTTTCATAGAGTTTTACTCTAACGCTTGAGTGAAACCCAAGAGGGGATTTTATTTCATCAGAATATCATCATGGAAGAAACAAGTCTGTCTCTACTTTAAGCCAATCTAATATATGAAATTTTCATTTTACAAAATAGGTCAATTTAACTCATATTGCACTCCTTTTTTAGTACCTTTAAATAATATTTTCATCTTAGTACATTAAAAAAGTATCCTCAAATTATAGCTTTGGAGGGAGGTATGAAGATTATATAAAGGAAGCTATTTCTGTATCAGATAATTCAACAAACTAGGGTCTTCCACACCAGCTGCCTCTGTAGCTACATGTAGTATGTACATTTTAATAGCTTGTATGACTTTTATTACAGTTAGGTTGGGAAGTTCATGGTTCAAGGCAGTGCTTCTTAAACGTGGTATCACAACAATGTGTCATGGTAAGTATACTTGGGAAGTATAAGTAAACTACCAAATTTTGTGATTACAAAAATTCCTAGGTGGACTCAAAGATCACTTATACCTGTAATGCCATTTACACAGACTTTTGTCTTGTCGTGTGATTTTGGGAGCCAGAGAATAAGCTGGTGTTGATACCAGTGCTATGAGAACTTTAAAGTTCATCTGTCAGTCACATCTGTTGAAAAGAAAACTGATATTTAGCAAAACACATGTAAGATAGGAATCCAGATTCGCAAATCTTTTATTATTTATTTTTGACCATAAAACAACAGGATTATATTTTAATACATAACTTCTGTACAACCAAAAAAATAAAACACCACAGTAAAATAAACAGGAATAAACATGGTATTTCATTTGCAGTGCTTGACAAAATGCTCACATCCTTAATCAGAAATGAGCTCTTAGAAATCAGTAACAAAGAGACTAATATTACAAGGGAAGTGAAAATAAAAGGAACAGATGAAAATGAAATAACAAGTAACCAATAAGGCTATACAAAGATGATCTAGCTTAACTTTAACAGAAGAAAAAAGCAATTTCTTTGCAACATTACATTATCCGTGATTTAAAATAGTGATATCTAATGTTTGAACAGTTTTAGGAAATGGGAAACATTCAAACACTGGGAAAGCTTACATTGATTATAGGAAATTTACTCAAAATGTAGATTTTGCGTATACTTCGCTCCAGCAGTTCCAATCAATAGGAACTGTTCCGACAAAGTAGTTGGACAATTCGGATTTACATATAACCATATTCACTGCATAGAAAATCTGTAGTTAATATGTCAGCCCCCTAAAAAACTTTTTTTATCAATTTGCTTATGAAAAATAGTAGATTGAAGTGTGGAATTAGAAAGAAAAAAGGCACTTAAATAAAAATATAGTATTTCACAAAATTCTTTTTCCTTTGAATTCTTGAAAAAGACAGCTTTTTAATCAATCAGTTTTAAATTTACCCTGTGATAAGTGAGAAGCATGAATATATGCAAGTCATACTTTTTATTTTTATTTATTTATTTACTATGGAAATGCTTTGATAGAGGTGAACACGGAGTGAGAAAAGCAAATGGCCACACGGACATGGCTATCACAGAACACATTGTGCGTAAATGAAGAATTTATACCGCCCCCACCCTTAACCCAGTAACAGAAGGCTCTAGGCCCCCTTTTCCTCAGTCCACTCCTCAAACTCTCCCTCCTCCTCAGCAGTGGCATCCTGGGACTATTGGTACTCTGATACCAGGTCATTCATGTTGCTCTCGGCCTCAGAGAATTCCATCTCATTCCTGCCCTCGCCTGTGTACCAGTGCAGGAAGGCCTTGCACCTGAACATGGCTGTGAACTGCTCTGAGATGTGCCTGAGCAGCTCCTGGATGGCCATGTTGTTACTGACAGAGGTGGTGGACATTTTTAGCCCTGGGGATGGGATGTCCCAGAAAGCTGTTTTCCCATTGTAGGGGATTCAGCAAAATAGCTGCTGTTCTTGGTTTGGATATTAAGCATTTGCTCCTCTACCTCCCTCATGGACATGCAGCCCCTGAAAATGGCAGCCTCCGTTAGGTAGAGGCCATATTGGGGGCCATAGGCAGCCATCATGTTCTTGGCTTCAAACATCTGCTGGGGGAGTTCAGCCACTGTCAGGGCCTTCTTCGTTGTTTAAATGCTCATTTTGAAATACCTTTTTAAAATTTCAAATACAGAAAGTAGAAGCAGTTCTATTCTCATTTCTCTATGCAGGACTATTAAAATTTTGCCATATTCTTCCAGACAATTTTCTTTCATATAAATCATATAACAATATACACATATATACAGTCTTTTAATTTTAACTCACATGTATAATAATTTCAAACAATGTTAAAATAATTACCATTATCATAACACTGAGCAGTATTATTTAACTGTCAGGATAGTCATTCCCATGTAGAATTAACATTTTTAAATTAGCCATTACCGTTTCCGTTAGAAAAAACAGAAGCATGTACACATACCTCTGCAATTAGTTGATGTTTGTTGAAAAATGACATAATTTTAAATATCAATTTTAAATACTGTAAAACATACAAAAATTTTTGAAAAAATGTTTTGAAGAATTTTTAAAAATGTTTTAATTACATTCATGTTGACTCACAAAGCAGTTATTAAGAGGATATTAAAACATAAAGTAATAAACAATACAGCAATTAATGTATAGATACTTATTTAGGAGTAGAATTCTGTATTTTAAATCATGGTCATATTTTCCAGTTTGCATTTTGTGTACGGTATCTTTAAGATGAGAACTTTGAATGTCCTAACAATATCCATCTAACCCCATCCAGTGACCTGGGTTTCTTCTATATGCTGAAATTAACCTGGGTTTATTTTGTTATTCTGCGTCATAAAGAAGATTACGCTATAACTATAGCATAGAAAGACTCTTGACCCCAAGTGAGAAGACCTGAGTTCTGCATTTGGATCTGATACCACCACCACCACCCCGTTGCCACCACCACCTCCTCTCCCAGCTGTGTGTGATTAACACATGCCAGCTTGGCTTAGTTTCTTTTTCTTTAGTAGCAAAAGAGAGAGTTGCCTGAGATGATTGAGTTCAGCAATTGTTTATTGAGAGCTGTAGGGAGATTTGATTCCATAATTTAAATCTGATTTTTTGAAAGCACCTAAGTTGGGGAAACCTTTTTTTTAAAACTCTCCATTTAGTTTTGGTGTGCAGCCAGGTTTGGGAACCTCTTCTCTAAAGTACCTTCCATCTCTGGTAATCAATTCTGTGATTCACCCATGTAGCCCCTTGGCCAGCTCCGCTCTCATCTGCCTGTAGCTTCTGTGGCATCTTGGGCCACTGTGCTAGCACTTTTCATACCCTGCCCTATCACACAGGTAAATGAGCCCCACCAGATTTTATGCTTGTTAAGGACAGAGACTTTTTATCCTACACAGAATTTATTTAGCCCAGTGACTTGTACATAATTAGCACTCAGTAAATTATTGATAAATGCTATTGTCATGAATATTACTAATAATTATTCCATATAGAATCTATGATTCATTTTAAGCTATTTTAGTAAGGGAGAAAGAAAAGGAGACAAGAGCTAGCAGAGTACATGTATAGTATTATGTGGCACCATGCTTCATGTAATTCAGATTTATAAGGTGTATAAGTGTAGATACCAGTGTATACCATTTTACATATGGGAAATCTAGACTTACAGAAGTTGAGTAACTTGCCTAAGTCCACATAATTAGTAATGTCACTGTCAAGATTCAAATTTAAATGTAGTCAGTTCTTCATGCTTTGTGATCTCTCCTATCCTGTACTGCTTCCCACAAAGTGTCTGAAACCAATACCAAATCTCTTCTTCTCTAGAGTCTTCCAGTATATAAAACCTCATTCCCCAAAAGTGTAAGAGGTGACATTCCAGTAAACTTAATGTAGATTTGCTTGGAGTGAGATCAGTGACAGCCTTGAACATATATTTGAAACTAGAGCACAAGCTTTTGAAAATTTTGCTTCCCCTGAAATATTCAGAAACCATACACTTTTTTTCTTTGCTTTTTAGACTTACCTTCTCTGTGGCATTTTAATTGAAAGAGTTTCCCCTAAGATACTTAAGTACTTAACTAAAAATGCAGCATGATTCCTTTGGCATCTCTGATTAGATATCTTTCGCAAGTGAGGTTATGGTACTTGAACTGGGGAATACATTGTCCCCTGCTAAGGGTGTCTTGAAACTGTATTTGTTAAAATATTGGCAGAAAGGATAGGTGCATATTTTGTACTTATTTTTTATATATTTGTAAAATAGTGGTCACTTGAAGCAAACAACATCAGTGCAAGCCCCTTTCTCTTTTCAGGCTACTCGACATGCAGAAATGGTGGCCATTGATCAGGTCCTTGATTGGTGTCGTCGAAGTGGCAAGAGTCCCTCTGAAGTATTTGAACACACTGTGTTATATGTCACTGTGGAGCCGTGCATTATGTGTGCAGCTGCTCTCCGCCTGATGAGTATCCTTTGACTTCATGAGTTAATGTCTTGTACCATTCATGTGAACAAGAGAGTGGCCTAAATATGAAAACACAGACTTGGGAAACACCTTGTAAAACGTAACGTAGTGTCTCTTACAAAAAAAGGAAAGCTTTTTAAATAGTAAAATGACCTATTTCTTTTCATATCAATAAACGTAGAATGATTACACAAATAATTTAGAGAAATAAAATGTTAGAACTATCTTAAACAGTTATATAAAGATAAATCATAAATTAAGTTGAAGTGGATTATAAAACAGTTTGCAAAGGAAAAGTGCTAAAGAATATGCAGCTAAGTTTTGCCTTTGGATAATGGATTGTGAGTGATTTAAATTTTTTTTCTCTGTTTATCTGTTGGTTTGTTTGCCATGAATACCTATTACAATGTACCAAACATTATCAGTAAAAAGTAAATAAGAAGTAAAAAATCCTTTATGATATTCTAATTGTAAATGGAAAATGAGTAGTTACTGCTCTTTGGATTGTCTTGCATGGATTAAGCAACTTAAATAGTTCAGAGACACTGTGGGACTTCTAAAGATCTTTTTAAAAAATTATTTGAAAATTGAAAAACTCAGTTTTTTAGTTGCTTATTTTTTATATACTTATTTTACTATTTATGGATGGATAATTTTAACACTTCAAAAATAATACAGAAGTTTTTGGATATGATAAAATGTACAGTCTCTATAAAAGGGTTATTATGGGCAACTTAGAATTCTCTCCTCATCCTGCCTTACAAAATAGCTAAGTTTTAGTCTATTTTGTATTAGGGCGCAGGTTATATTTTATTTGGGGCAAGAACAGGGAAGAATCTGTTATTTTTAAAAGGTGAAAATCCCTGGATTACATTTCTGCATCCTTTCTGGCTCTGACTCCCTGGTGATTCTGAAAAAGTGATTTAGGAAAGAGCAGAGAGAGCCCTGAACTGTGAACATTAAGCAGCCACATACTCAGTTTTCATTCTGTTTGCAGTTGTTAAATATCAGTTTCTCAAACTTTAAACCCTTTTCTTCTGTGTAACTGGATTGTATGGTTTATAAGACTAATCCTAAGCTTCATTGTTTTGAAGAGTAGCATGAGCTTTCCTCTCCAGGATGGCTAGTATAAACCTACTCTGATTTTGTCATGATGCATACTTGAACTGTACATTCTATGCAGGACCTTAATTCTGTCTTATAAATCCCACTGGTTGTATATGGCTGTCAGAATGAACGATTTGGTGGTTGTGGCTCTGTTCTAAATATTGCCTCTGCTGACCTACCAAACACTGGGAGACCGTTTCAGGTAATACAAACTGCTTATGCTTTTTCTTTCTTGCTAATTATTTTCATCTCTTTATGCGCTTGTGAATAACTAGTGTGTGGCCAGTATTTGAAGAAACCATGATAGAATCAGACATCTTAGATATCAGAACCTCTGGTGGAGTTCATTTATGCCTCAGTATAAGATGACAGGGAAGAGTTTCTAAATGAGTGCCTACCTGTCTTCAT